ACCATCTTAAATTAAGCTTTTCATGGAATAACTTTAGTCTTGAGTTAAATAAAATGACTTTTTGACCTTCTACCAATTCTCTTTTCGGGAACTTCCTATCATACCATTTCTTAGTCTTTTCTTTATATAGCTCAGCATTCTCATAGAGGAACAACTTGTGTTCCTCTAACTCATTGAGTTAAAGCATTCTAGCTTGGCCAGTAGATGTCAAGTTGAAACTAAGGTTTTTTATAGTCTAAAATATTTTATGTTCCAACTCAATGGGTGGGTGAGAAGCTTTGTCGTATACAATTATATAGGGCGAGATGCCTAAGGGGGTCTTGTAGGAAGTTTTGTTGGCCCACAAAACATCATCAAGATGTTTGGGTCAATCCTTTCCTAAATGATTAACCATATTTTCTAAGATCTTTTTAATCTTCTTATTGGACAGCCCAACTTGCCCACTACTTTGGAGATGATAAGCTGTAGCAACTTTGTGTTTGGCCTCATATTTTATCATAAGATTTTGAAATAACTAGTTGTAAAAATGGCTTCCTTCATCACTGATGATAGCCCTAGGTGTGTTATGTCTAGAAAAGATGGTTTGATTAAAATTTTGGTCACAAACTTAACATCATTTGTGGGAGTTGCTATTGCCTTTATCCATTTAGAGATATAGTCAACAACAACTAAAACGTACACATTTCCAAAAGATTGTGGGAATAACCCCGTAAAGTCTATGTCCCACACATTAAAAAGCTCAATTTCAAGGATGTTGATGAGTGATATTCATGGCATATATCACATACTTTGACTAGTTCATGAGCATTTTAAATAAGGAAGGCCAGAAATAACCTGATTGTAATACCTTTGCATCAATTTTGGTTCCTCTAAAATGTCCTACATATGGCGCATCATGACATGTTGGCAATTTCTGATGTTCCTTTGGTTGCTCAACACACCTCCTTAGTAGTTGGTCAACACATCGCTTGTAGAGAAATGGTTCGTCCCAGAACTGACTTTTTGAAATATGAAAGAACCTCTTCCTTTGTTGAGAGTTGAAATCTGGGGGGACATACCCATTGACTAAGTAGTTGACAGTATCTGTGTACCAAGGTGCCGCGTCAGAGGTGATCTGTAACATTTGTTCATTAGAAAAGCTTTCCCTAATACATTCATTGACATGACTTTAAACTTTATCTGGTAGTCTTGAAAGATGATCAACCAGATTCTCTATTCATTTTTTATCTCTGATTTCTAAATCAAACTCTTATAACAATAACATCCATCTTATAAACTTTGTTTTGCATCTTTCTTTGCAATTAGGTACTTGATTGTTGCATGATTCATGTACACCATCTTATAAATCTTGCCTTTGCATCTTTCTTTGCAATTAGGTGCTTGATTGCTGCATGATTCGTGTACACTACCACTTTGATATCCATTAGATAAGATATAAACTTGTCAAATATCAACACAATTGCTAGCCGCTCTTTTTTAGTAATGGTGTAGTTGATTTGCACTTCAATCAATGTCCTATTAACATAGTAAGTAGTGTGAACACCTTATTGTGCCTTTGACCCAACACTTCTCTAATAGCAAAGACTAATATCACACATCAACTTAAAAGGTTTAGTCTAATCAGAGAGATCTTCACTATAGGAACAGAGATTAAAAATTCTTGCTATAAACTCCTATAAAATACGTAAAAATATAATATTAATTCTTTTAATTTCTTAACTATTTAGAAACATATTAACTCTTTTAATTTCTTAACTATTTAGAAGCATATCAAGTATCTCTTTCTAAAACTCATTTCTAAATAAATAGTTTTAGATCTTTTCACTATTGTTTGTTCAAGTTGAAAAGACCATCTAAGATGTTGTTGTGATGTTTCTTGTAAGAAGAGATTAAAAAGAAAGAGAATATTTTTAGTAAAAGAATAATGAATCCAGTTGAAGTATTGATTAAAAAATATATAAAAATTGTCCTCCATACAAAACTTATTAGGTATTCAATTCCTTAATCTCACATCATTATATCATTAGCCAGTAGTATTACAAAGAAATTAATACTTTAAGCGTACTTAGCATCACAATAGTATCTTGACAGCTCATTCTTTAAAAACCTTCAAACGCTCATAACTAAATCATTAGCAACAAAAAAAAGCATCAAAATCCAGTCTCAAATGCAAACGGCAAAGAACAAACAAACTGTATCTCAAAGTGAGGTTAACCAAAAAAGCACCTCTTGGCTTTTCCTCGTTTTCTTCACCCAAAACCAAAACCTCACTCTTCCCCATAAACTAAATCGCCCCAAATTCCAATAATCACTTTTTTGCACAATCGATTCTCTCCTTCTTAGTTCTTACACCATCATGTGCAACACTCTCACTGTAACGTCATCACCATTCCCAAACCTCATCCATTAAGAGAGAGAGAAACTCATAACGGCAGTTAATCCATCCATATGGAGTCTTCCTATCACCGCCGACGACACCGTACATGGTGTTGCTCTTTCGCCGTCCCGCCGTCAAGCCCAGACAACCCACCGTTCAAACCGCGCAGGCCCAAACCCGAGGCCCAATCCAAGCCCACTCTCTCCTCCTCCGTACCGAACTCCCCTCAGAGCTCCAAATCCACCTGTCGCATTGCCGCTCGGATCGACCCTCGCCGGATCTTATCCCCCGGCAGAGTCTCCCCCATCGAAGACGCTCTTCCCGATCCCTCTCCGCTTCTCGACTCCGCTCCACGATCTCGAAGCTTCCGTGCTCCTGTCACGAACCCCATTCCGCCGCCTCCGATGAACTCCGCCGCTGACGTTAGTGTCGGCGTCAGCGACGGATTCGACGTGAGGATGAGTTTGAGAGGGAAGAACGGTGGATGTATTGTTTTGGAGCTGAATTCGGTGATTCTTTGCGCTAACTCGGAGGTTTTTGCTGGGTTGATTGGGGATTATAGAAAGGGTAGTTCTTCAAGCGGGAGTAATAAAATGTGTAGAATTGAAGTTCCTGAAGTCGATAATTTGGGAGTTTTTAGAGAAACTATTGAGCTTATGTTTGAAGAGGATGTTCCTAAAAGGCTTCTCAATATTGGTGTTTATCGATCCATTGATGTTTTGGAGGTTACTATTTTCTTTCCTTTTTATATAAATCATTTTAATTATGGTAAATTATGATGTGTCTTTTGCCTATAAACTAGATATTAATGCTTCCATTTTATGGAATGCAATTGAATGCATATGATTAGTGAAGATTATTATGGAACATATAACCAATAGTTGCTTTATGGAGTACCTTTGAGGGACCGGCACCAGAAACAACACCTACATTGACACGTCGATACCAGTAATCATTTAAAAATGAGTTAAACGTAATTACAAGTGTCAGCAGAGGTGGAGGGAGAGTATTATGAGGGGTTTCAAATGACCTTTGGCTCCAGGTCCTCACTCCGCCACTAAGTGTCGGTGTCGGTTTTGGACACACATACACTTTTTTTTAGTGTCAGCGCTACTTAGCTTTATATCCATTTATGCAATAGTAGGAAAAAACTGTTTTTAATTTGGGTTTCTCTTGTTTTTACATTGTTTGATCTTAGATTAATTTAATATTTTCTTGCGTGGTTTTTCGTTTTAGAAATGAGTGTATTTTGTTTGGATCAGTTTTAAGATTGACATGAAATTAAAAGGAAATATTTTATTACTTTGGAGGAAGTATGGAGAGACAATGAGACATGGAGGAAGACGACAGCTACAAAACAAAAACAAAAATGCAATTGAACTTCATGATGATACTGTTTTTTTGGATCATTTTTTATAGTTTCTTACATGATTGTCTGTTTTTGTGTCTCTAGGTGTCTGCAGGCATCATGTTCACCAAGGGTGTTTTCTCCTGTTTACAATACCTGGAAGCTGTTCCTTGGACAGAAGAGGAAGAAGAGAAATTAAGGAACCTGTTTACAAGATTTAAGTTCGATGATGAAACTACAAGGGACATCTTAGGAAGGCTTTACTTGCATGATTCGGAAGATTCAAAGCCGAACGTAGCCCGACAACTTGTATGGTCAATCACCACTTGTGTTAATGCCAATGCAAGAAATGAATTGAAATCACTTGTTAAGGGTCTTCTTTGTAAAAGCTCTGTGTACGAGAAGAATCATCTTGACTTAAGCAAAGACGATCTCTATTCAGTTTGCCACTCGTGCATTGACTCGCTGATCAGCCTCTTTGAGGAGGCATCAGGTACCGTCCCTAATGAAAGATTGACAAAGAAAGACACGAATAAACCAATGATCGAACGAATCTCAACACAGGTTGATAACATCAACTGGTTGTTGGAAATAATGCTTGATGGACAAATAGCAGAGGATTTTGTGGATATATGGTCTGATCAGAAACAACTTCTTAAAATGCATGATAATGCATCCCCTATGGTTAGATATGAACTCAGTAGAGTTTCGGCAATTCTGTTTGTTGCCATGGCTACAAGAAAATTGCAATGTCGGATGGAAGTTAGATCGGGGCTTCTCCAAGCATGGTTTGCGCCTATGTTGTTAGACTTTGGTTGGTTGCAAAGATGCAGAAAAGGGCTTGATATAAAGGTTTTGCAAGATGCTATGGGTCAGACACTTCTTACTTTGCCTCTAAAGCAACAACACACTTTGTTCATGGAATGGTTTCATCACTTCTCAAGGCATGGCACTGAATGTCCTAATCTAAGCAAAGCATTCCAAATTTGGTGGCGTAGATCATTTTTAAGAGGGTCTGAAACTCATGCCATTGAATCAAGGTAAAAGAGTATCACTATTTGTTTATCACTTTAACTGTTTGTGTACCGTGTAAAGATTTGCAATTAGGTAAGGGGTTCTTAACTATGTACACTGAAATAACATAGATAAAACTCCATAGAATGTTGTATTGGCAGGTTAATCCCTGAATGGTATCGAATTTTTTAGGAGATTTTTTTCATCTTCGTTTATTTTTTTGTCAAACTCCATTTTAGATATACCGTTCCAAGATGAAAGCTAGGTCAAAAGACCTTTTAACCTCAGGAACACCAACACTTCTGGAAAAAAAAGGTGTGTCAATGTTGTGTTTGGTGTCCGTATGGAAGTCTGTGCTTCATAGTTTTTAACACTCATTAAATGAAATTCACTTGCACGAGGAAGGTGATTTCTTGGTAAAATAGAACTCACATAGAAATAAGGGTATAAATTGGAATTTAATAAATAATACGCTTGAAAAGTACATACTATCTTTCTTGTATTTACAACAGAAAATGACATAAATGTCTGGTAAAAGATAAACAATCTTATTTTTTATGTACATCATTTAAATAATTTTCCCATGTCATCTCTCTCTCATGCAATTTCCAGGTAAGAGAAATTTATACTTCTCTGCATTTTCTTTCTTGTATTTACAACAGAAAATGACATAAATGTCTCATAAAAGATAAACAATCTTATTTTTATGTACATCATTTAAATAATTTTCCCATGTCATCTCTCTCTCATGCAATTTCCAGGTAAGAGAAATTTATACTTCTCTGCATTTTCCAGAAGGAAAGCAGGAAGATGAACTGCAGAATATGAATGAGGTATAGGACCCATTTTCCCAATAATGTCTCTGAAAGTGTACTCTTCAGGCAACATATCAAATAAATCAGCCCCTTCACATATTACTTTCTGAATTCTCTCAGGATTTAAATAATGAGAGAATCTAACTCTATCATAATGACTATAAGCTTTCATCTTAAAAATAAAATCACTTATTCGACGAAAACAAAAACTACAATGCCAACCAGCATCTGCTAACATGTTATCAGACTGTCGATAATGTGCATATCGTGTCTTACCAGACTCATACCTATGAACCGAAGCCCTCCAACTCTTATCATCCAAGTGAAACTCGAAAGAATAGAGATAATTCTTCAGTTGTAGGTGCAGGATAGCCGGTATTTCATCGCACCATCGCAAGAGATTAATAGTATGAGCACTTGGTATCTCATCGACATCAGACATAATCAACAAATCATCATCTGTTATACCAGCAATCTTAAGAAGGTGATCCAATGCCACACGTTGAAATGCTTCCTCAACAAACGGGTTTTCTTTTTTCTTAAATCTTCCACCAATCGTCCCGTATGTTAATCTCTGCTCGATAAAATTGAATTTCTCCCTATATCTTTTGAAAACCAGAGGCTTGGGAATTCCAGTAAATGTAGAGTTTGATTCAAGGATTACGAATTCAGCTACATAGGGGTACAATTCCTTCCAACGCAAGGTAAGTATTTCTAACTCATTACTGAACAACACAGCATCATAAACACGTCTTGGATTGTCACGAACTCCCCAACCATGAAGTCGACAAAGATTCTCCATCGTAACATTGTCGTTATAGTAATGTTGGATGAGATTAAAAGGCTTGGGTGGTTTTTCCCATAACGGTCGAAGAAAGTAGGTGATTTTCTGTCCATGGATATACATCCCAAAGATGAACATTGGAACAATGGCGAATATGAATATGTAATTTTTCACACCGAAGCCACGCAAAATGTTGCGGACTCTTGACATACCCGAAACCCGACTTGATTAGTACAGGAAATTTTGATCATAAAGCCAGATGCATCACGAGGATGATGTTATAGACATACCAGAAATTAAAACCGAAACATAAAACTTGTTCATGTGAGAAATTCTTTCGTGGCCTTAATCCCTTCAAATTGAACCTCTCAAAATAGTAATAACACAAAAGGAAACAAGATAAAAGGGTGTTTCGTAAAGGTTTACTTATAAACCACACAAAATAATTAAAGTTAAAAGATAATTTATTGTACGAAACTCTTATTTTATGGGTTTTGAAAATAGAATGTACACAGTTTTATCTATTCTTTTATAATAAATAGACTATTTTCAACTGGGTTCGAAACTCCAAAATAATTAAAGTTGATTTGCTAAAATTAGAAATGCCAAACATTTAATCCTCAAAAAAGAAACCTTATATTCCCTTATCCAAATAATATATTGATGTAAACTTAATTCTTAATTGATCTGTTTCTTGATCCGTGATATCCCAATGTAAAATACTAAGTTTGGATTTCTTCATTAAATTTCTAAATTAAGACTTTCGCATAGTTTTTGTTGTTCATTCATTCCTTTTATTTTCTTGCATGGTTATTAATGAATAACTGAGAGCTATATCAAAATCAAATCAAGTAATCAAATAAAATAAGACATTCAGATGGATTGTAATTAATTAAATAATTTAGCATTCCATCTGAACAAATAAACGATATATACTCATTGTTAGTTCCTTACCTGGTCTTTGTTTAATTAGTTTCTTATGATTTTGGGTATCAAATTAGAGATTGGGAAAACTTATTGTTTTCTTTATTTAATTAGTTTCTTATAACTCTTCTTTATCTTGTTACGTTTTTAAAATTTCTCATTATAACTCTTGTTTTGTTAATAATCTTTTAATCAAAGTATAACTCTTGTTCTAATTATAAGCTTAGTTCTTTATTTGCTAAGTTTTTTCCACTATCGTAAATATCTAAATAAACTCAAATGGAAATATCAGGATTCTTAACAGTTTTTCTTCCTGTTGAAACTATTTTAGGACTCTCCTCTCGTTTTCTTCATGCAACTGACCTAAGGACCCATCACTCGTTTTCTTCTAGCTGAAGTTACTTTAATAATTTAGTCATCTTTCCTACTTACTTAACATAATAACATCATTGAAGGTTGCTTTTACATGATCAATGAGTGTAATGTCTTACCCTACATGATGAAAATTAATAAGGATAATGTGAGCTATTGAAATATAAAATATATTTTTCACTAGATATTTATGTATACTTGTTAGTACAGTCAGGATTCTTCTAAGGCGAACTTCAACGAAGTTATTGTGTTATAAGTCATAATGAAGAAGAAGGCTTCAATATTAAATTTACTTCAACATGAATAAAGAAAGTGGAGAATTTTGATATTTCTATTTGGTTTAATTTGGATATTTACTTTAGTGGAGAGTCATAAAGTCACTTTAGTAAGAAGAAACAGAGTTGAAAGGTATGCGTCCACACGACATTATAAGTGTTTCGGACTGGGCTCAGAGATGGCCTAACATTGGATAAGGTCCAACTTACTCCTACGTCGAGGATGATCCAAATAATGGCCCAATCTGAAAACATGTTTCTCACGTGTCCCTTACCCGAGGACACGTCATCAACGTGTTCCGTGCACTTCAGGACAGTTGACCCAGGATGATGAGCATGTGTTGTTCATCCTCACTCACGTGAAAATCCTGACAGCCATCCATTGTAGGTCTGGATATTCTGTCCATAGTGGAGGTCATTGGCCCAACGCTGGGGGCTCTATAAATACTCTCTCATACGGGAGAGTAAGGTAGATCATTCATAACTCTCATACTCATTTAGCTCATACTTTTCTGACTTTAGCATCGGAGTGCATTACAGGTAAGTCCTCTCCCCCTCCCCTCTCAGGAACATTTGGACCAACATATAATTATACCGACCACGTGTCTCTTTCTGATCCCGATAAGATCAGTAAGAGAGATGAAACATTTTGTAATTCTCCCGTTGGGATACTTAACTCTCCTTATTTCTAAATTTATGAGATATTTTTAAATAAAATTAGGGTGCGAGTCCCCTTCGCCCTTTACAAGTCTTGAAACATTCGGTTTTTTTGAATTGCTCATACCCAAACGCATCTTGTCACGTGAGATTTATTTGAAGGAATAAAATTATATATGGCTACCTTAATTTGAACCCCCTTATTTTTTTATATTTCTTTCAAGTTAAAAGGGCTCGACCAATATATTGAGTATCTCTAAACAATTGAAATCTGTGGGGATTTCACTTATTAATCCTCCATCAAATATTGTATCTCTTATCTCGTGCTTATGTTAGTTCTTGTATATGCTCTTATTACTCACGCCTCATTTGGCGCTTTGTGTTATGCTTCTTTAATTCCTTCACTATTGTTATAAGTTGCTCATCTGCAATATCATATGTATCTTTGTGGGTGTCATTTTTGGTATTAGTGTTGCAACATTTTGCCTCATTACGAACGATTATTAATGGTGATGGTAGTGAGTCTAAGGCATCAAACAATTTTGTTGTAGCATTGTAGTGGGTGTCAATGTTTTTTTCTAGAATTAAATCCTAGGATTAAATTGTCGGTTATGGAGATTACTTAGGGTTTCAAGTGAGTGTTTAATGTATAATAAATAGATTATTTTCTCAAGAAGCTAAGCTTCTTGTATATAATGTCATCTTTAGGGTTTTAGTAACCTCGTGTCCCTCCAATCATTTATAGTGCCAAATCCATAATGATTGTGGGTCCTGAGAAATATTTTATTTGATCACAGACAACCATTAAGACAAACTAGTCTTTGATTTCTTTTCACCTCACCATAGAGGATATTCTTTCCTTGAACTTTTGAGGACTTGTTTGCCTCATACTATAGGGATTTGAAAAATTATAAAGTAATTTGTTTACAACAACTTTCACACAGTGGTAAATCAAATATAGCTAAATTACAAGTGTTTAACTTTCTTAAGAAAGAGCAATGAACAAATAGCATTTGTTCCTAAGTGTTTGTTCTTTGGTAATATGACAGTGTTTTGTAAAACTTACAAATTCAAAGTGACACAACAATAGTATAACTCAATAGTAATGTGCGCGCGTGCGTGTGTGTGTGTTTGCATTTGAGGTTGTGATTTATATAGGACTAAAGATTTTGGATTGTTGTGTGTGTCGTCCTTTCCAATCATTTGGATGCTAGGAAATGAGTTGTTGGAGTTGTATTATCTATATGAAATTCTTATTCGTTCATTCCTTGTATTGATACTTATCCTTTTATTTCTTGTATTGATACAGTTGTCATGATATGACTATTGAGAATATTCTTGAAAGGTAATATATCACAACAGATTTTGTAAATGAAATGCAAGTGATAAGTTGTTCATTAAGGTATAAATGATTGCTTCCGTAAAGTATAGATGATCTTCGAGCTTCCACGACCTTCAAGTTGTTTTGATCTATTGCTGCCATTAAATCATCACAGTTGTTTATAGTCTTAACAACCTCTTCCACCTTCAGATCCAACCACCCAAAGCACTCCCTATTCCAAGACCTCAATTTGTTCCTTAGCAATTTGAATTTTTCTTTCAATACATAAGTTTGTTTACCCTGCACCTCTAAAGATTTCCAAACATTCTCCACAAAACCTTTTAAGTTTTTATCCCGGAACCAACAACTATTGACCTTGAATGGTTTTGGCCCCCTGGTTGATTTCATTTTCTTTAATCCAAATTGGAGCATGATCAGAAATGTCCTTGTCTCCAATCACCTGTCCCACAATATTCAAATAATCTTTCAAACTGTCAAATAGTAAGAATTCATCTAATCTACTTCTAGCATCGCCTTCCTTGTTCGACCAAGTGAATCTACCTCCAATGGAAGGCACGTACGCAAGCTCCATGTCATCTATAAACTCATTGAACTCAATAATATATGCATCCCTATTTTGATTAGTCCTCCCCACTCTTTCAACTTTATCCCTTACTGTATTGAAATCACCTCCTATACACCACATTCCCACACCAAAGTTGTTTTTTAACTTAACTAATTCTGACCAGAGAATGTGTTTCTTATCTATCAAGCATGACGAGTAGACATTAACGAAATAACATACATGGCCTTTAAATTCAACACACACACCCAATGATCCTTCTGTTTTGAAGTTGTACAGTGGCAGTACGATACCCTTCCTCCACATTGTTAGTATCCCTCCTGAAGCACCAAAAAAATCTTTCACCGACCATTCCACATCATTGTTGCCCCACAAACTTTTTACAAGCGCATTATCCATATGTTAGGCTTTCGTTTCTTGAATGGAAACCATATCATCCTGACCCTTAGCTATGATTTGAGTTAGTTTTCTTTTCTTCAACGATAATCCGCACCCTCTAATATTGAGTGATATTATATTCATTGAACTAATGGATTTTTCTCCTTCCTTGCCTTTATCCCTTCAATATCACGCTAATGTAGGAGACTAATTCAAAAATTGTGTAACTTAGAACACCAAAATAAATCTAAAATAAACATGAATCCAAATCTATAACTAAGTTTATGTGTTAATAATATATGTTGAATTCTCGCTAAATACATCACATATTTAACACAATATTAATTCAAAGGTCAACTAATCGTAAATCTTACTAATATAAGAAATAAAATTGAAACTTGTAAAATGTAAGAGTCTAAAGTAAAACCTAAAATAAATAAACACGAGGGGCGAAATATAAAATAAAACCTTCGTTTATTAATTGAATCAAAAGAAAGTTGTAGGCGTGAGGCGATTAAAATTATTTTGTCAGCTCACAACTTTCCTACTCTTGTTATTAAGTTCTTTCGTATGACACCACTTATCTTCAACGTAAGAAAAAGCAATGAATCTATAAATTGGAACAACTTTGAGCATAGCGATAGTCAGTCCAACAAATTATAGTGATCTAGCCTTTAATGATTTCATTAATCAAGATAATATTAACGTAGTTGCATTTAATATCACAATTGGATCTGTGGCGCAATGGTAGCGCGTCTGACTCCAGATCAGAAGGTTGCGTGTTCGATTCACGTCAGGTTCAATTTAGTTTTTTTAACTTTCAAACAATAGTGAAACATTTGAAAATTATGAGTTTGAATGGTGAGAAAATGCACTTTACTCTCTCTTGTGTAAATCTCACTGGCTTTTCGAGTGTGTTGTTTTTGCTGGGATTTGAATGGTGAGAAAATGCACTTTACTCTCTCTTGTGTAAATCTCACTGGCTTTTCGAGTGTGTTGTTTTTGCTGGGATTTGGAATTATATTTTTGGATGGCTTGGTGTAAATATAATAATGCAGACCAATGGATGGCATCATTTAGAACAATTTAAAGGTCTGTTTGTCAAAGACAGAGCATCACCCGCCAAGATGGCAGTAATTTGCAAAAATGTTTTCCAAATTGAATTGAATCTCAGTTTGCTGTGTTAACCGGAGTGCTTGGTTGCTGAACTGTGTTTGCTGTGTTAACCGGAGTGCTTGGTTGCTGAACTGTGACTTAACTATCTCATGTTCAGAGTAGGTGGTGGTCTGGTAGCTAGCTGTTTTGTCTCATGTTAAATCTCAATTTTATAAGTTTTTCAGTGCAAGATTGATGCATCCAAGTTGATTGGAGTAAAGCCATAGTAAGTTGTAGGGAATACATCCCTCCATTGAATTAAACAGAGCTCGTTTATCACCAAAGATTCACTTTTGATAGTCCGTAGAAGACCACAAAGGAAAATAAACATAGAAGATCAAATATATAATCAAATTTTATGTTAATAGCCATTGTTAAGTCAAGACTAAATTCTAAGGATCAACCATTCACAATGATGCTAATGCATTAGACCAAATTGAAACATTTTTTTTTATAAAGTGAATCAAAAAAATGCGATAAATATTTTTTTTATTTCATATTTTTTATTGAAGATTATAAGATAAATTTCCTTTTTTGCTCCGGCCATTTTATTTTAAAGTCTGAATCAAAAAAATGCAGTAAATGTACAAGTAGGAGCAACTTTCAGCATAGCAAAATTTTACTCAAACAATAGATAATCCACCAAATTACTGCAATCTGGTTTTCAACTACTTCAGTTTACATAAAGTTAGCTTATTCTAGAAAATCAATGTTCAAATTGACAAATTCATACCACATGCGGAAAATAGAGAGAGAATCTATAGCTTTTTTCTAATCCATATTAGGGTACTTGCAGCTATAGTTCTAACAAATTCTCCCTGCACTTCCTCATTTTTCAAAGCCTGTTTATCTTGGCCCCGACTCCAATTATGTTTAGTCTGCTAGAACAATGGCACGTCTAGGTCAATCAACTCCAAGTAATTATTATGGGGGTCACAAAACAAAGAGACGTCGCCACCAGTAGAAGGCATTTCATTTTTAGTATATTCATCTCTTTGGCCATGGGAAAAGCCATCTCCATCATCCAATCCAACCAAGCTTTGAAGATCTCCCAAGTCCCCGAATATCTCATTTGGATCTAAATAAGGTTCGCCTTCAGCATTGTTTGCCTGACCAGGATTATCAACCTTCTGTCAAACATAATCACATGTTAGCATGCATGAGCAAGAGATGGAAGTTAAAGAAAACATATTAGATCTTTTTATGATTCATACATGTATAGCAGATTTAAAAACTAAAGAAAAAAGTAACTCAATAAATTTATATATAAGAAAACAAAACATGTGCCAAACCTATGCCATCTTGAATAGTAGTAGGTTCAAATTTTTAAGCAATTGGTCTTCTAGTTTTTAAAGTTTCAAATTTCTTCGACAATTGACATAACTATAGAGAAAACTAAACAAAAATCTATTCAAAAATAAACCTTCACTCTCCCTAAACAAAAGAGATAGGAAAGATTGGAAAATGATATCTTGGCTTCTTAACCTTACATTAAATCTTCGAAAGTATATGTCTAAGCTCAAGTTATGTACAACATAGCCTAGGCCATGTGGAACATTTGAGGCCCCACTCATCACTTTGGAGAGTAAGTTAAATGCAAGTGCAATGAATCTAGAGGTTTTTCCTGCCCTTGACTGAGACAACATCTCTTGCTAAAAATCTTAAACCAAAATAAAAAAGTATAACATAGACGTCCCATACCGTAATACTAGAATACAGATACATGAACCCAAAAAAAAACAGCAGAATACAATACAAAAAAACCAAAGGCACCAACAACATATATTAAGAATAATGAGAAGAAAAAAACCACATAAATAATATCACAAGTTTTTCAATAGCATAAGTGCAAAAATAACAGAAACGCAAGTGCAAAAATGAAAGATGGCAGTAAAAACAAATGACAAATACAAGGGAGATAAAAGAAATGAGATATTAGCCATGACTAAGAGAACAAGGGTGAAGGGATAAAAGAAGGTAAAATCATGTTTGTCCAACGGAAGTGGAAGCCTGCCAGATAATGGAGATTGTCATCTGAGATGGCAGGTTGAGGCAGTAAAGATATGTGTATAATTAAGTTACAATATGTTAAGTAAATCTCTCTATAAGATTAGGATTGTTAGTTTATTCATCCCTATAATCAAGGGATTTGTTTACTGATTTAAGTGTATTCTTTTAGAGTATTTCTCTCAAGCAATTCATATAATCTAATTCAACTTGGCATCTAGAGCTTTGGTTTATTCTTTTCTAAGAATTGTTAGGGTTTTCAGCAACAGTAAGTGCTGACCTTTTTTGTCTTTATATTCATTGTTCCATTATCAGACCGCCACCACTTCACCGTCAAACCACTGCCATCTCTGATAGAGACAAGCAACTATCATTGGTTTCTTCTGGCGCTGATCGGCTAAAACCTAAAAAAGTGTCGTCAAAATCCTCCAGACACGCTTACACCACACGCGCCGCTGCCCACCGGCACATGACATACACGCGTCGCCCTGTCCAGAGGTCTGATTGAGATGCTGTTTCCACCGTCCGACTCGCCGGAGCTTCCTCTAGCTGTTTTGGGTGGTAGGCATCTGATTCAGCTCCTTAATCACAGGTTTCTAGTCTATCTCTGATATTTGGTCCAGTTCAAAATGTGCACATCTGGTCTTTACCTGCGGCGACAGATCTGTTCCAGACAGCACCCATTGTGTTGCCTTAGTTTAGTTTTTTCGTGTCTGATTTACAATGGCAACAGTTTCTACAAAAAAAGTCTCTGTTATCCTGTGTTTTCCGGTAGTCCAACTATCACATTGGAGAGACTCAGGGTAAAAGTTATATGGGTTGGCTGGCAAGCTGCTGTTAAGATGTGGTTCTTGGGTCAAATTTGTCCGACCATCTGACTAAAAAGGCCGATAATTTTGCTGCAGTATAATGTGAGCAATAGAAGAAAGCTGATGCACAATTAGTTGATCTTCTATGGCAAACCATTGATTCAAAGTTGATGGTTTATTTCCATCCCTACAAAACGTGTTTCGACATTTGGAAGAAAGCTAGAGATGTCTATTCAAATGATGTTCTTGTCTCTACGATGTGGTTCGTAACTTATTTACTCTTCAGATGACATATCAAGATCATCTATCAAACCTGCATAATGCAAAGTCCACCACTAACAAAATCAAAATGCTTTCGACAGGTAAAGATCCCACGAAGACATGGGCATGGTGTTACTACTTCATGGCCTTCACGAGAATTTTTGAAGTTGTGCGAAACCAAATTCTGACAAGTCCTAGTGTTCCCACAACATAGAACTTGTTACCCCCTTGTTGTGGGCTCCTCAATCAGATTTAGAAGTTGGATCTCAACCAGGTTTAGAATCTTCTGCCTTTGTAGTTGGACATGGAGGTCGTCGTCGCAGTAATAGAAGAGGAGGTTGAGGAACTAGGAATAGTTGTCATCAGCGTTTGCATTGTAAAAGTACGAGACATACCCAAGATAAGCGCTTCCAATTGATTGGCTCCCCTGAAAAATCAGTCCAATTGATTGGCTTCCCTGAAAAATCAGCAAATGCCACATATTCACAACCATCCGCTTCTGAAAACAAGATGGAGGACAGCCTTACTAATCAAAATATGGTATCTAATGCAGAATATTTGGAGCACCTTCAATACAAGACAGCTAGTCAAGCTTCAGTAATTGTTGCCCACTCGGGTGATTCTACAACTTGTCTCTCTCATTCATCACATGTTGGACACCGGATCTAGTTCATGGTGCTTCTAAATATATGGCTTCCTCCCTTTTATTTAAATTATCTCCTCCAAATGTTTCTTGCCAAATCACCCTACAGATGGTTCTACAGCTTAAGTCACAAGCATTGGTCAAAGCCACCTCTCTACCTTCATTATCTCAACTTTGTTCTTTTTGTACCTGGATCCCTAAATTTAGTATTTGGTAGTCACAAAAGTTTCTCGCCATATCACCCTTGCAGATGGTTCTACAGCTAAATTCACAAGCATTGGTCAAGCCACCCCTCTACCTTCATTATCTCTTAACTTTGTTCTTATCCCTGCTTTGTGTCAGTTGAAGTCGTAGAGTTCAAGTCTTGCCAGCTTGGTAAACATGTTTGGGCTACATTCCTAAGCAGATTTTTCATCAAGCAAACACCCCTTTTGATCTTATTCATACAAATGTGTGTGGTCCGAATCATGTCATTTCTATCTTAGATGTTAAGTAATTTGTTATTTTCATTGATGATTTTTCTAGATGTACTTGGATTTTCTTATATAAATAATGTTAAGCGTTATTTACTATTTTTCAAAAAAAAATTGCAATAAAATTCGAACACAATTTGGACATGTTATTTGTTTCTTGGGCAATGACAAGGCAAAAGAATACTTTTCTGCACCTTTTTATAATTTTATGGCACCTCATGGTATAATCTGGTTGCCTCCACATCCCCAACAGAATAGTATTGCAGAAAGAAAACATTGCCATATTATTGAAACTGTACGTACTATGATGATACATGTCAATGCACCGACAAAATTTTAGGGTTTTGTCTTACAATTGGTTATTTGATCAATAGAATGCCTTCTTCATCTTTAAACATATCTCATTCTCTTTTATTTCGAAACGAACCTCTCTTTAAGGTATCTCCTCGTGTCTTTGGTTCTCCTTGTTTTGTACACGATTAGATGTGTCTTCCTTAGTTACTCTCAAGTTCAGAAAGGATATCATTGTTATTCTCCTTCAACATAATATTTCTATGTATTCGCCGATATCGCCTTCTTTGAAGATATTTTGGTGTTTCACTTCCCTTGTGACACAAGTGTCTACCTCTTAAGTATTACTAATTATCCTTTCTCTTCCCTTGAGCCGCAAATTACATGTATCAGGACACCAAAATCTTCCATATTTTGGTGTTTCACTTCCCTTGTGACACAAGGGTCTACCTCTTAAGTATTACTAATTATCCTTTCTCTTCCCTTGAGCCGCAAATTACATGTATCAGGACACCAAAATCTTCCATTCCGTTGATTCCTCCTCCTATGCTCACTTATCTATGATGTCCCCGTCCTTCTCCAATAGAAGATGTCGTCATTGAAGAGACTAATAATTTACCTATTGTTGGTTGTTGATGGGTATGTGTAATCAAAGTAGGACATCATGGTTAAATTTATTGTTTGAAAGCCTGTCTTGTAGTAAAGGCTATTCTCAAATTTTGGCTTGGATTATGGCGAAACTTTTTCTCCAATGGCAGAAATGGAATCAGTCTGTCTCTTCATATCCATGGTTTCTATGTGCAATTGACCTCTTTATCAGTTAGACATAAATAAGAGACATTTTTATATAGTGACTTGACTGATGAAGTTTATATGGAGCAACCGCCTAGGTTCCTTGCTCATGGGGAGTCTTGTCATTTTGTTTGTATGCTGCAAAAAAGCCTTGTGCGGTCTCAAGAGCCGGTCTCAAGGGCCGAAGAGCATGGCTTGGTAGATTCCGTTTCTTCATGATTTTGGCATGCTTCGCAACAAAGTTGACCATTCAATGTTTTATAAACACACATCTACTGATAAATGTATTTATCTTATTGTACATGTGGATGACATTGTTATTATAGGAGATGATCAAAGCGGTATTCAAAATCTCAAACATTTGCTCAAGCACTTTCAAACCAAGGACTTGGGTCGACTAAAATATTTCCTTGGAATTGAAGTAGCTCAAATCAAAACCATTGTCATCTTTCAGAGAAAGAATGTTCTTGACATTTTAGATGAGACCGTGATGTTAGATTACAAACCCATTGACACGCATACGGATCCAAGTCCAAAGCTCATGCCAGATAAGGGGGAGTCATTTTCAAACCCATGGTAGATATAGAAGGTTAGTTGGAAAACTACCTTAATGTGACTAGACTTGACATATCCTTTGTTGTCAGTGTTGTAAGACAATTTCTTAACTATCCATGTGATAGTCATTGGGATGCAATGGTTCGAATATTGAGATATGTAGAGAGGGGTAAGTCAATTTCTTAACTATTCGTGTGATAGTCATTGGGATGCAATGGTTAGAATATTGAGATATGTAGAGGGGTAAGTCAATTTCTTAACTAGTAATTGGGATGCAATGGTTCGAATCTTGAGATATTTAGAGGGGAACTCCAGGAAGAGGAATAGTTTATGAGAACAGAGGTCACAATAATATTGTAGCATATACATATGCAAATGAAGGGAATCTTATTTCTTGGAAAAGCAAAAAACAAAGTGTTGATGCTAGATCTTAGTGTTGAGGATGAATATCGAGATAAGGTTCTCACTACATGTGAATTAATTTGGTTGAAACAACTTCTTAATGAGTTAAAGTTTTGCAGAGTTTAAGTTTGCAGAGTCAATGAATCTCATTTGTGATAATCTGACAGCTTTAAATACTGCATCTAATTTAGTCTTCCATGAGTGTACGAAACAGAGAGATCGTTTGTCACTTCATCTCAAGATTATTTTCGGGCAGATAGTTACTTCCTTTGTGAACTCGGTCAGCTGGCAGATATGTTTACCAAATCACTCAGAGGCCTGATGATATCTTATATATATAACAAGCTTGATGCATGTGTTTTATATGCACTGGCTTGAGGGGGAGTGTTAAGATATGTATATATTTAAGTTATATTTGTTGAATAAATCTCTTTATAAGATAAGGATTGTTAGTTTATTCATCCCTATAATCTCAGAGGCCTGATGATATCTTGTATATGTAACAAGCTTGATGCATATGTTTTATATGCACCAGCTTGGGAGGGAGTGTTAAGATATGTATATATTTAAGTTACATTTGTTGAATAAATCTTTTAATAAGATAAGGATTGTTAGTTTAATCATCCCTACAATCAAGGGATTTGTTTACTGATTTAAATGTACACTCTTAGTTATAAATCACAAAAGGCTGAGAGTATTTCTCTCAAGCAATTAAAATAATTTAATTCAACTAAGGCAGAGTTTAAAAGGTCTGGATGAGGCTGAAGACTTTTATGTGAGCCAGCTGCTGCTGCTGCTCAACATACAAGCCTTGGAGTTTTATCTTATAGGTCATGTAGGTTTTGGATTCTAACAAAAGGATGAGAGTATTACTCAAGCAATTCAAACAATCTAATTCAATTGAGGCTAAAGAGTTTAAAAGGACAAGATGAGGCTGAAGACTTTTAGATGAGCCAGCTGCTGCTGCTGAATAGTACAAGTCTTTTAGAGTTTTATCTTAAAGGACATATGGGTTTTGGGTCTAGCAGTGACTTGTGATATCCATTTCTCTTTTTTTACCTATTGGCTTTCAATATGCCATCACCATTGTTGGCTCTGTGAGAATGGCAACCGCCATGGCCCTTGTGTAACACTAACACTGCTAGTGTGCCGTGCAATTCAGCAAATGATGGATAAAAGAAGCCAGAGTGGGGTGTTTTACGTAAAATACATAACAATTCCAAAGATAACCAAAAAGAAGGAGAGTTTTGTGAGAAGTCAGATACAAGATAAAAAGTATAGGAAAAAAATGATGAAAAAAGTCAAAGACTACCAAAACTAGGGAGCACAAGTTACTAACAACAAAGAAATATTACACACCTCAGATCCAATGTTTTCATTCCCTGCCAATGTATCATCGTCTTTGAAAATAGCAAGCATGGTTAAAATGTCATCATCAACTTGATTGCTTGGAGCTGAAGGGTGTGGCAAGCCAGAGGGCATTGATCTTGATACACATGATAAAGAGTTCAGTCCAACGCCACTTACCAAGGGATGCATGTCATTTGCTACGGAAATATGGCTTGAGCTAGGTAGAAATGGAGAAGGTGCAGACACAGCAGCAGCAGGGACAGGTTGCAAACAATCAATTTCCTCTTCACTATCCCAGTCTTTTTCATTAAACGGTTTACCATACTGGGCACCATTTCTGGGACCAAGACCCTCCTTTTGAAATACCCTACAAATCACGTAGGAATTCTGAAATACAAATAAATTAGCAGAACAGTTTAGATGAATTCAAGAGAACAACGAGGAAAACAATGCAAAGAGAAAAAGCCAGCAAGGCAGGCTAAGAATAGAGTCGAGATAACATAATCAAACGCATAGTACTATCTCTATCCCTATTTTTTTTTACCATTAAGTTAAAAATAGATTAAAATAAAGGAGAAACAACAAAACCTGGAGGGACATGAATCTAACCCCAAGAAAAGGAAAAGAAATAAAAAATACAGAAGTCGTGTGTTGTGAGTTTCAACCCTAGAGCAGGTAAAGAGGAACACCATGTTGTATTCAGGCAGCCACAAAATTCTTCAAGGTAGTCTTGTCACCAGCCGGAATTGGCTCAATAACTCCTTCACAAACAGTATGTTCATGCCGCATAACAATTCACTCCAGCAATCTGCACAACCGTTTTGATAACACATGCTGCATGACTTTAGCAGATCGCAGAACAATTCATTGCCAAAGCATTATAATAGATAAATGGCAATTCATCACCCCGTTTGAAGATTTAACAATGCCAACGCACAACGTGAATGTTACTCATAACAATTCCGTGTTATTATCGCAGTTTTTCGCAAATTCCACTTTCTATAGACGAAGTTTTCTCCGGCATCAAGACTGCCATTAAAATATGGCGGTAGTTATAGAAGGCAGGCAGCAAACCCTAAAGCAAAACTCTAGCGGAGCCCTTCCTCTCTCCCGGGTTTTCGCTCCCTTTTTCTCTATTGCTAACTACAAGTTACATTTAGAAGAGAAAAAAATTTGTCCCTGAATATAAGTCTCATTTAAAATTACAAGATACTTTTATTTTTCTTTCTAGATATACCTCTTATTAATTCAACTAATTTGTCTAAGGAGATAAAATGTCAGAGATAGACCCGTCCATACTCAAGTGTATTTAATTAATTCAACTAATTTGTCTAAGGAGATAAAATGTCAGAGATAGACCCGTCCATACTCAAGTGTATTTTAGCAACATTCATACACAACATGGATACAATATATACACTACTTATGTGTGTGTGTTATGCAATAGAAGCACATACAGTATCTACTGCCATGAATCATTTATAGAGTTAGTTAAACATGAACAGACACAGTTCTACTTTAATATCATATATCCAACAAAAGCTGCAACTTTATGTACTGAAATATGTCAACTATCTTTCCTAGTGTAACTAAGGACAATAATACTACAAAGAGAACCAGGCATCACATGCAGAAATGATCTCCAAGGCACAGACCATGAATCACCTAATTTAACTTGAACAAAACAGCTCATAACCAACTGATACTATAGACATAATTGTTGAGTCCAAGATTTACCTGTGCAATGCCTTTGTCAGCTAAGTCTTTGTCTTCAAGTCTGAATTCATGCATTACCCAATCAGTTCTGTCTCCTTTAGGAGCTTTGCCAATGTGAAAAACCAGGGTTCTAATCATCCCCACCACTTGATTCTTATGTTCAACTGCTCTATCCTTCCCTGTAGTCTTCCAGTACCCAATTTCAGTAGCTCGATTCATCCTCCCTCCAGTGCAATATTTCTTTCCTACAGGGCTAAAGAAGTACCATTTCAAATCCCCAGTTTTGAGCAAAGATTTATCTGAAAATCAAAACAAAACCTCATCGTAAGAAACACAAATGTACTACAACACTCAACCAACATTTCATTGTCCAGTTCATACCTGGAAGATCCCATGGAGCATACTTGTAAATGTCAAGTTCAGCAATGACATCAAAAGGGAACTTCCTACCAATAATCTTCCTCTTGAGAAAATACATAATGAGCTCAACATCAGTGGGATGAAACCGAAACCCTGGAATCAATTTTGTTTCGGCCATCGAAAAATCAAAAAGAAAAAAACAAAACCCAAACAGAAAGTGTTTCAGAAACTAACAACCTTCAACTAAACCCCCAAACCTCTGGTCCAAAGCTAAACAACAATAAAATTAACTAAAACTGACCTTGAAATTAAAAAAATAAAATAAAAAATAAAAAATAACTTAATAATAGAGATATTGATTATAACCCTAATAATGAAGAAGAAACGTGATTCCGATCAAGTCCAATGGCGGAAGAAGATATTCCAAAGCCTGCGACGGTTCATGAAGAGAAAATGTTGGCACTGGGAGTGGGAAGCAGCAATGAACGACGACGACGATGATCCCGTTGTGATAAGAAAAGTCATCGGCACAGTGGAACCCTAACATTGGAAATGCAATTAATTCAATTGATTCTCGGCGATTTTGCAGTTATCGTGGTTGTGATTATGAATGAGAGAGCGCTGGTTCATGCATGGCGATGAGAGTGAAGAAGAAGAAGCTTACCGGAGAAGGAGGATGAAGCGCGAACACCGAAGATTTTTTTGACTCTTGTGTGGAACTTCAGTGTGTGAGGCACGAAAGGGTTTTATATATAGGTGTTAATTTATTTTATTTTAAATTTAAAAAATAAGGAAATTGTTTCTTGTTCAAGGGGTTTGTTTTGTTTGGGTTGTTCTCTCTCTTCCGGTGGAATAAGAGCGACGCGGCTATGTTTTTTCACGCGATTCAAATCAAATCGCTGTTTCCCAGACACGTCACTACCAATTACTACTAACCAAACAAAAGTAAGGTTATCAATGTAAAATAATTAATGCAGTTTTAAAAAGTAGTATTCATCGCTCCCATATTATTTGTTAATTTCACACAAATTAAAAAATAATAATAAAGAAAAAAATAATAATTATATTAAGTTATTCCGATTAATTATTAATGTAATTAATATTAATATTAAGTGAAAAAATAATAAATTAAAAATATAATTGAAAGATTAAATATAAAATTGAATTGATAATCTAAAATGATAATTATTTTGAAATAATTTTTTTTTATAAATATAATATTTATTTTCAGATGGAGGGACAAATATAATTTTCTTTTTACTCTTAATAAAGATGAAGAATGTAATTTTTTTTTTACAGAAACTAGTATCAAGCTTTAAAAAAATGTGATTTTTTTTTTCAAACTATTTAAATAAATTATAATGTTGGATAATTAAAATGATGGTGGCTTTTAAGAGATCATCTCCTCCATAGTTTTACCTAGCATCTCCAAAATGCATGAAAATATTAAAATAGTTTAACCAAATTTTTTCACCATTATTCAAATTTTACAATACACAATTGAAAATTTTGAATTCCTGAAGAGATATCGGAATTTTCACGAAGAAGTAATGAATTTCTAATATTTTTGCAAAAAGTTTGTAGATTTTCACGAAAATTTAAAATTTTTCGGTATTTTTGTATCGAAAAATTTAAAATTTCCAGTTATTTTGTAGCATTTTGTATTAGAAATTTTAAAATTTTCGATAGTTCAATTTTCTTGAGAAGTCCCGAAAAATTTAAAATTTTCGGTAGTTCATTTTTTTTCTCTTTCTTTTAGTGAGGACCAAGGATAAAGACGGTTCCATTACGGGCAGGCTGATTGGTAGAGCGTAAGCTCAGGCCTGGGCTGATGAGGCACGGGCTTTTGAACTACTGAATAAACGACGTCCTCCGACTGGTTCTCACTGAAAATAGTTGGCTGAGCAGGCACAGTTTCGTGCACCCCGACGCCGGGCTACCAAAGTTGATACTTTTGTGGAAGTACCTGCTCCTTTGACTGAGCAGGTTTTATTGAGGAGGCTCCTGCGACAGTTGTTGTGGAGGAGACGGTTGTTGAGCAAGTTGTTTGTGAGCAGGTTGTTGCTGAGCAGATAAATGAGGTGTCTCCCGCTGATATAGATGACACGCCTTGTGCGTCTACGAAGCCATCAGTTCACATTGATGGAGGCTTTCCAGAAGGACCTTCTGCTAGATCCTTGCTCACAGGGTATGTTGACCATGTCGCATACAGAGTTTGGCAGGGTGAGGTATATTTGTCATATTTTTATGGAAAATTATTCATTATGGCTCGATCAAGTGTTGAAATGTACGTATAATATTTTTAACTTTGTTTCTTACAAGAGCGTCCAGCACTGAAGGTCGCATCTCATGGTTCGAAGTTGTAGAACTTCCCAGAGGGTGCAATGCCCGAGGAGGTCAGGCGTGTTGTTTATGAGTTTCGCCTGTTGGAGTTTGTTGAGTGATCGCTGACCATGCTTGACGCCTCCCTATTGTCAGCTTTTGTTGAGAGGTGACACCCAGAGATATCATCATTTCATCCTCCATTTGAGAAAATGACGATCACATTGGATGATGTCGACGTGTTGTTTCATCTCCTGGTCAATGGTACATTCTTCACAGCTCCTCATATTAACTAGACGACGGCTCTGTGCATGGTTATGGGTGATTTAGAAGTCAATGAGGCTAAGGTTCTTGAGGAGTTTGGCTTTAATCGGGGACTTCACCTTCAGATGCCTTGGTTGAGGGAGAGGTACGGGGAACACATACATGCTACAACTAATGGCATATACTCTCTTTGCAAATAAGTCTGGTTTACATTGATGTTCAATACTTGTCTGTGTTTAGTACCCTAGACACTCCATGTTGGGCTTGGGGAGTTGCGGTATTGACCGTGTTGTACACGACACTTGGAGTTGCTTCCCAGCCTGAGACCAGACAGTTAGCTAGTTATTTGAGCCTATTATGGATATACTAGCATTTCTTTGTTGGTTTTTATTTTTTATTTGAGTATTCTAGTTATTTGTTGGATGTCATATTAATCTATTTTTATTTATTCAGTGCTAGATATACGAGCATTTCCCCCACATTTGAGCCCAGAAGATCCAATCTGTCGTTGCGAGTGCTCCACAGGCGACGAGATGGAAGGGCAAGCAAGCTCATGCAAGAGGTGTTATGGATTACAAGAGGAGGTTTGACGCTCTGACAGTAGATGATGTCATCTGGACACCATATACAACTCATTGGGTATATCGTCTATTTGACGATGCTTCTTTGTATTCAGGGCATATGAGGTGGGAGAATAATGTCTCTGGACACTTGCCTGAGAGGTGTCTACGACAATATAGTTATATTCAAGGCATCTCTTGTCTAGTTCCAGAGGCCCTAGCTGGTGGCATTGACAGATGGTTTCAAGGTCACATCATCAATTCTGCTCGTGCCATTAGGGATAATGCAGTTACGGTTCAGTATCCTTCACAGAGCAAGGATGGATACTTGGAGTGGTATCACAATATATCATTCCCTCACCTCATACCATCGACTGCAAGGTCTTATGATGCTAGGATTTCTGATGCTCTGGGGCCTTCTGGTGCTAGGGTTTTTGATGTGCCACCACCACCTCCACCTGCCACAGGTGATCAAGATAGTCGCCTCCAATTTATTGCATTTCTTGTAGATAAGCTTCTTGGGTTTGGTAAACCCTAATGGTGATATTTTTACAGGTTTATCTAGGCTAGCAAACGTAGCCCGTGGGGGCGTATGTAGATCTGTTTTTTTTCTTGTATTATATGTATATTTTGTGACACATACTTCTTATCATGGTACTTATTTATTGCATAATATTTTGGCGATTATATATTTTGACAATTACATGTTTCGAGTCAACGATTAACACAACATAAAACCGTACAACAAACATAAATTAAAAATTGCTAAACATGAAAATCTAGGTACTACCAGACGATTCTAGATGTTTCAGCATCTTGATTATGTCTTTGACGGATCTTATTATATGCGCTGAATAATGGAAAAACATAAGAAGGGGGTGGGGGGTTGAATTGGGGTTTTAAAACTAAAAGCAATAAACATGTTGGTTATCCTGGTTCGTTTAAACTCAAACTACTTAAGTCCATCCGCCAAGGTGATTTGGCCTCTCTCAAACTAGGTATTAACCCACTAATAAAAACTTGATTACACAAACACAATGACAATTGTCAATGTCTTCTTGAGTCTAAACCACAACTCGGTTTTCTCAAGGAATTACAAAGTAATATGATTGAAAGCGTGTACAAATATGTTTTCTAGATAAAACAATATCACCATAGTGATGTATTACACAATTGAAGAGCACAAGGTAAAACTAGGTAATTATATTTTTCTTTTCGGTGCGCAGTTGTTGTTTGATTTCTTCTTCACGTCTTCTTTATATAGGCAATGCATGAGAGACATAAGAAGATGCTTTTGGAAGGTTGGTAAATAGTAGTTAATGTTCTTTCCAAACATAGATATTCTTGTCTTGATTCAGTCATTACTTTTGACTTGCAATAAATAAAATATAACGCTTCAGAACATGCTTTACTGAAGATCACATCATAAGATGAAAGTTACCGTTGAGTCTCATTTAGTTCTTTCTAGAACTTTACGTATCAGAATATCAGAGTCCTTGTTTCGTAGCATTGGTGCATTTAGAAGTTGTAACACCAAAACTTCTTTATTTAAGCGTGTTACACATATTTGCTTCTAAGTAAGATGTGTCATAACAGAGCTTTTAACAACGATCTTTCTCATCTTTTATGCTTCTTGCATCAGAACTTCCCTGCATATTAAAATGCTTTATTAGAAAGCATATTTGTCCTTTATATATATCATGTGTTTGTTATCATCAAAACTCTTACAGAGATGTATAACTAAACTATGTTCTAACATGCGCATCCAACTCGATTGGACCTTTAGTTATCCTACAGAGAAATGATTTCCATATGGCATTCACATCTTCATTGGTATTCAACTCAATCAAGTTGTATTTCAACCTTCCATTTGTATCAATTCAAACTTCCTGAAACTCTACCTTTCTCACCCTTATGTTATCAGAGTCAGGCAGTAATCCATTCAACTTATCTTTAAAGTTAGCGAGGGATGTGGTATCATTTGGAAGCTTGAATTCAACAAGAGGATTGTTTCCGTTGAAATACACTTCCACTTTAATCAAAAATTGAGGAAGAAGCATTTTTTGAGATGTATTTCTCTATAACATATGCCCCGATTTATATAAATAACGATGCATTCTATACCACATAAATTTGTCGATATAATTAGAACCCTCCAAAAATATCACAAAATCATGATCGTTGAAAAAACTTGAATCAATATACTACCAAAAAATTCAGTATATAACTAAATTTCCGATACAATATGATAAATTTAAAATTTACAGAATACCAGAAATTTCATATGAACTATCGGAAATTGTCACATACTGGAAATTTTGTATACACTACTAAAAATTAAATCTCTACCATAAATTTTGTACCCAACACCGAAAATTTTGTTTGAAAAATTTTATTCCCATTTCACCAAGGATATTTCTAGAATAATTAAAAAAGGGGGTGTCTTTCCCCGTTCATTGTTTTTATTTTTTTGCATTTTTCTTCTTCTCTATTATCTCTTCTTGTCGAGTCTCTGTGCATCTCTCACCACTACTACCATTTCCACCATTAGTGATAACAATTTCTTTTTGATATATCCAATTTATCACTGTTTCTCAGACAAATTACCAGTACAAATTAACCAATAAAAAAATTATGGATTGTTAAAATAATTAATGCAGTTATAAAAAAATTTAGAGATGAAGAATGTAATTTGCTTTTCTTATAGTAATATTTCATGAAAACGAGTTAAATATATAAACCCCCTTATAGTGTTAGCGAGTTTTGCTTCCGTCACTTAGGCCCCTATCTATTATAAATATATAAACTCCCATGTACTTGGTAATGACACTACTAACATTTTGATTAAAATCTTTAATTACACTAATTGTAAGGATAAATTAGTCTTTTTCATTACTAACTTTATATTGTTTTGGTATTAAATGCTGCTTACTTGGCACACCCACATTTTTTTGTTGATAACTTATAAATAATTTTTTTTATAAAACATAATTACATTATATGTACCGGTTGGAGGGCTCCTTCATTTACATTATGTATCTAAGTTTAATCACATTTTTAATATTAACTGTATAACATTTTGATATTGAATCGTTGAGTTCTCAATTTACACGTATAATACTCAACACAACTTCCAAGGGTTCATTCTCATTAAGTGCAACACTTAGGATTCATTTTTTCCCCTCTATAAAACCTTCAAGGATGTAAAACCATAATACAACTTCTAATATTCATCGTTCACATCCGTAAACTCCATTCTTATTCCATCCATTCTTCAAATTTCAAAAGCGAACGGTTTCAATTGGTTGAAATCATTCAAGATTTATGTCTTCTTTAATCACAGTTTAATCATCTTTGTTTTTCGTTTTTCGGGTTAACAATCAATTCATAGTTTAATCATCTCTATTACTTTCTCAGATCTACACATCGAAGAGGGTCTCAAATCCCTCCACGATTTCCTCTCCAGAAAAACTTATATCTTTGGGTAAACTCAAACCCATTCAAATTTAATCCCGATTTATTTATTGTTTCAAATTTTTCTAAGAATTTGATTATTGAAAGTTTGTTTTTTTTGTTTGTTTTTCGACTATTCGGGCATCAATTGACAAAGGATGATATTAAGGTTTATGGAGCTGTTACTGAGAAGCCAAGTTGGTCTTTTTCCCATGTTGTTAATTGGTATGATGATGTTCCTTCAAGCCTTGCTACTAGATATGTTTTTTTTTGTTCAGGTTTTGTGGATTAATTATTAGTTTTGGTTTTTGTGATTGGAATTTTAGTTTGATTTTGATTTGTTTGGTTTTTGTTTGGTGATTGGGTTTATTTTTTGAATTTTGATTTTGTGTGGACAGTTTCCCTGAGAAAGCTCAAGGTGTGAAGTTTACAGGAAGTGGTGCTGCTCCAGCGGCAGAAACACCTGCCAAAGCAGTATATACTCTCTGAATTTTGGTTTTTGTGTGCTACTTTATATGTATAGTTCTGTTATGAGTTTTAGAGTTGCATGGTATATGCAATTTGATTTTTGTTTCTTTTATGTGTTTTAGCATAACCTTGCTAACCATGATTGGGTTGCCCATTCCTTTGATTGGGTTTCCCATTCCTTTGATTGGGTTTCCCATTCCTTCAGGATCAACATTGTTTATGGGACTAAGAGCATTGTCATCAAAAACTTGAGTTTCAGCCCCATAATATTGTTTTGTGTCGGA